ATTTCTAACACTGGAGATTACATTTCAACATGAGATTTGGAGGGGCTAAATATTCAAACCATATCAGGTTGTAAGCAGAAATAGTGTGTCAATATCTGAAAAGTGGCCTTAAAGCAAGAAGGATGGTGTGTTTTTCACTTCTTTGTCCTTCCTACTAATGGGAATTTGGTTGTGATGGCTGGAACTCAGCAGCCATATTGGATCATTAGACAGCACACCAGGGATACAGAGCAGTCAGGAAGCAGAAGCCTGCGTCCCTGACAACTTCAGGGAGCAGAGTTGCCCTAGCAGCCCTTTTCTTTCACTCTAGACTTTTGATAAATAAATAACAAACTCCTGTATTACTTAACACACTGATGCTGGCTGCCTATTGTAGATAAATCTATTCTTAGGCAACACCTTCCCTTCCCTGAATTAGATGATATCCTAACTACTTTGATTGCCAGGTATAGAAATTCTAGAACACTAACACAGAGAACCATGAAGGTTTCACACACTCTGTTTCCAGTTAGAGCCACTGCTTTACCACACCCAAGCAGGGCTACCCTTCTTTCACTCCCTGCCTGGGGCTGCTTAGTCTCAGACTTCAACTGGTGATTGGAGACAGGAGTGCTTGGCAGTAGAGTTATGTCCACAATTGATAGTCAACCCTTATAAAAATGACTTGGAGTCTCTTCCAGCAAGAAGGGCCATCTTGACCATTTTATTACTTCTTCTGTACCAGAAAGTATGGGTGCTTGGAGAAATCCAATGGCAATCTTCTTTTGCTTTTTTTTTTTTTTTTTAATACATTAAGTTCTAGGGTACATGTGCATAACGTGCAGGTTTGTTACATATGTATACATGTGCCATGTTGGTGTGCTGCACCCATCAACTCGTCAGCACCCATCAACTCGTCATTTACATCAGGTATAACTCCCAATGCAATCCCTCCACCCTCCCCTCTTCCCCCTCCCCATGATAGGCCCCGGTGTGTGATGTTCCCCGTCCCAAGTCCAAGTGATCTCATTGTTCAGTTCCCACCTATGTGAGAACATGCGGTGTTTGGTTTTCTGTTCTTGTGATAGTTTGCTAAGAATGATGGTTTCCAGCTGCATCCATGTCCCTACAAAGGACACAAACTCATCCTTTTTTGTGGCTGCATAGTATTCCATGGTGTATATGTGCCACATTTTCTTAATCCAGTCTGTCACTGATGGACATATGGGTTGATTCCAAGTCTTTGCTATTGTGAATAGTGCTGCAATAAACATACGTGTGCATGTGTCTTTATAGCAGCATGATTTTAGTAATGGGATGGCTGGGTCATATGGTACATCTAGTTCTAGATCCTTGAGGAATCGCCATACTGTTTTCCATAATGGTTGAACTAGTTTACAATCCCACCAACAGTGTAAAAGTGTTCCTATTTCTCCACATCCTCTCCAGCACCTGTTGTTTCCTGACTTTTTAATGATTGCCATTCTAACTGGTGTGAGATGGTATCTCATTTTGGTTTTGATTTGCATTTCTCTGATGGCCAGCGCACCAACATGGCACAAGTATACATATGTAACAAACTTGCACATTATGCACATGTACCCTAGAACTTAAAGTATAATTTAAAAAAAAAAAAAGATTACTATATGCAGAATATTACTCCCAATGGGATATCCCTTCTTCAAGGCAGTGCCATGTCTTCTCTCCTTTGGAAATTCCCCTAGTGCTGTGTCACATAGGAAATGGTTACTTGGCAAATATTTGCTTCCAGGCTAAGACTTGCTATACTCCCCATGCTTCTTCCCAGGAATGGATAAAGTCACACATTTCTGGAATTCCTCCTGCCTTATATGGAGATTTAGAGTGTTGCTTGGGTTATCTCCGACAAAAACCCCTATGGCCCTGGAAATGGTGGATCTACTTCTAATCTTTTCTCTTAAGTACACCCAATCTCACCTTCCAGGAGTTCTCTCTAAAACTAACCTTTGATTCGGCCACTCTCTCACTCACAGATCACCACGACTATCACTACTGCCTGTAGAATAAAGCTCAAACCTATTAGCTTGTCATTTGCAGCCTTCATCTAGGTGGTTTGGCCAGATCTCATGAGAAAATATTATCTCTGGGAAATCAAATTCTAGCTACACCACTTACTAGCCACGTAACTTTACGTAAGCTAAAATTCTGAGCATCAGTGTGCCGATGTGTACAATAATATTAACCTATAAGAGATCACCTATGTCAAGCTGCTAGTGTTCACTTGAATTAGAATAGCCCTACAAGGCATTTCTTTCTAGCAGGTCTGAAAGAGATAGCAATATTTTTCTTGTATAACTCATGGATACATGGACGCTTGGTAAATAAAAGATACCTTATCCATACCTTTTCTAGACCTTAGTTTCCTTGTATATAAAATGAGACCTTAAATGGTCACTTGAAACTTAAAGTGGAAAGATATGTAAAGCACCTGATTCAATACTTGGCACATCATTAAGTATATTGCAAATGTCCTTTCTCTATCCTTCTTCCAAATTGAGACCCAACTTACCTTTTCTATGGAATTGCAATAAAAATTATAAAGCAGAGCATGTTACCTAAAGAAAGGATTATTATTCTTATCTCTACTTTTTAAAGTCCTAGCTACTCTTTAAGGCCAAATTCAAATGCCACCTTCTCCATGAAGCATTCCTGGATTCTCACTCCTGCAACACTCATCCCTACTCCACTCAGAAGGATAATAATGCAATCAAAGGAAAATCTTCAACTCATCTTAGCTGATACTTGAATTTTCTATATTTCCACTAGGATAATTCTACAATATACAAAGCTAAGCAGTGTTCTAGCTTCTACTAAAATGGTTTCCCAGATGAAAAAGTTCAGGATCTTCTAAAGAAGTATATTTATTCCAGCCTCAGACAGTTTAAGTATGTCCCCCTAAATTTCTGCATTTGCTCATGGGTATGTCTGTGTTCCTCTTTAAATATTTTGCCCAGAAATAAATAATATTTATTAAAATACACGGTCCATTTATAATATTTCTCCTTCTGTAACTGCAACCTGTGCTAACAGGTTTGGAGCAACCATGGAGCTCTTTTCTCCTAATTGCACTTATATTCAATTAAAACCCTGAACTCTTCTTTGATAATGTATGTTGGTGTTAAATGACTGCTCCTCTGTCTTGTATTAATACGTCTATTTTTGATATGATTGAGTCCCTCAATAAAGGTCCATATTATTACATGCATCTGGGTATATTTGAACTGCTGATTAAATTTTTGTGAACCTGAACTCTTTCATGCTCCTAGATCCTTTTTTTAATGGGTTCTTCCAAGGCATTTTATTCCTTTTATAAAACATAGCTCATTCTACTTTGTGCCATAGTTTGTGTACTTTGTCTTATGTCCTATCTTAGGTGGGTTTCTGAGAAGCAGAGCATCTGTCTGGGTGATTGGGTAGTGACTTTGCAGCCTCTGAAGCTTAGCGACTTCTGTTGGCCCAAGATTGAGGAGCAACTATGAGTTGTTCTCACCCAACACACAGCAACTAGGCTATAGGAAAAGGGTCCTAGATGGGACACCAACAGCATCCACTCTAGTCACCCATGATTTTGTAATGCTGAGTATGGAGTGTATTGTTCATCTCGTAGTCTCCATAATCCTGTTCATGTCTTGCACAGGGAAGCCACTAGTTGGTGGAACCGATTCGTCAAAGATCTGGAGGAAATGTCCCCTAGTTCGCTGTCATTCCAATTCACTGCCATTTGTAATAACAAACACCTGTGAGGGACTTAGCCCAATCTCCCCAAGCAGCAGAGAACCAGAGTATGTGGGTGACAGAGAGAAGAATATGCAAGTTTGTATTGCATGTTCCAAGAATCTCATTGCCCTGTCAACTCAAAAGCTGTCTAAGGACCAAATGCTCAAATTCAGAATAGGCAAAAATACTCCTTAATACCAAGGCAAACATATCAAAGAGCAGAACTTCAGGCTGCTCCACTTGGCTCATAAGCTATTTTTGTTTTCTTAAGTTATTTTTGTTTTCTTAAGCTTTATAAAGGTAATATACACATGGTTAAACATGAAAATGATATAAAAGAATAATAAATAAATAGTAAAAACCTATTTCTTAATTGTGGCTTTTATTTCCACTTCCCATAGCTAACTAGTGTTAACAATTTCTTATATTTCTACCCAGAAATAATTGTACGCATATAAGCACATATATTTATGAATTTATATACAAAGATATTACAGTATATGTATTACTTTCTCCTTTTATCCCCACTAATAATAGATCTTACGGGTCTTTCCACATCAACACATCTATCTATCTGTCTATCTATCTATCTATCTATCTATCTATCTATCTATCTATCTATGTATCTATGTAGATATATTTCATTTTTTAAATGATGATGTAGATGTCTTACAATTTATTTAATCTGTCCCTGTTTAATGGATATTTACATTGTTTCTAGTTTTCAGCTCTTACAAATAATTTTTTTGCTATTACACATTTTCTCCACTACAAAATATGCTCTTATATGTATTTGTTTGCATGTTTCCTTAACACTATTAAATTGAAAACCCTATGATTGTTTCTCAACAGAAAAATGGCATCATGGGTAATGAATGTGGCCACCATATTCCTTACATCTATGTTGAACAATGTATATTTAGCCTAAGTTATACTTTCTCACTCTGTGCCCATGTTTTCAGCCTTTTTCCCAGAATGCAAAACTTAAAATCAGAAAATGTAAAAGTTGTCACAGTTGAAAAAAGCTAGACACAATTCTCAACTGTAGGACATCATAACAGCAAGTTCTAAGATCCACAGAGCTATATAATTTAAATAATAAGATAATTACCTTGTGTGGAACAGAAATTCGGAATCTCGTTGAGAATTTAAGAAGTTCAGTATTAAGAGCTTATCCAATTCAAGTCTATTTCAGAAACATAATCAGACTTTCCAGAAATTCAGCCGTGATGTATTAAAAGCACTTATTATCTTTTTGCTTGCAGTGAAGTACATGCGAGAAGCCACGCCCTATGTGAAGAAAGGATCCCCAGTATCCGAGATTGGGTGGGAAACACCTCCTCCTGAATCTCCTCGATTAGGGGGCAGCACCTCAGAACCCCCATCATCGCAGTCCTTCTCCTTCCACAGAGACCGGAAAAGCATCCCCCTCAAAATGTGCTACGTCACTCGGAGTATGGCCTTGGCCGACCCTGAGAACAGGTAAACAGGGTCAAAACTCTCGACTGTATTGAGCGGCTCCTTGACCTCTCAGGCTAAATAGGGGCTTTCACCAGGTTGCCCTCATGTTCTGAAAACACATCATGGCTTCCAAAGAAAAGCATGAAAGGGCCATGCTGAGAATAGTGTATGTGTGTGTGTGTGTGCACGTGTGTGTGTGTGTGTAAGAGAGAGAGAGAGACAGAGACAGAGGAGAGAGAATCTATACACTGAGCACTGGTTCTGGAAAGAGTTGAAAAACTAGAATCATATCCTAAATGTCTTCAGGGCTCATTACCGGTCCACATGACTCACGCCAAGTTTCTTAAACCACTTAACCTCAGTTTTGTCATCTCTAAGATGGGAATAATTGAAAGAGATGCTTTGTTGGGTTGTGAGAATTAAATTAGGAAAGCCATGTGATATAGTTTGGATGTTTGTCCCCTCCAAATCTCATGTTGAAATGTGATCCCCAATGTTGGAGATGGGGGTCCAGTGACAGGTGTTTGGGTCATGGGGGCAGATCTCTCATGAATGGCTTGCTGCCCGCCCTGACATTGTGAGTTCTTGCTCTATTAGTTCAAGTGAGAGCTGGTTATTTAAAAAAAGAGCATGGCATATCTCCCCTCTCTTTCTTGCTCCCTCTCTTCCCATGTAACTTGTTGGCACCCCCTGCCCCTTCCACCATGAGTGGAAGCTCCCTGAAGCCCTCTTCAGAAGCTGGTATATAACCTGCAGAACTGGGAGCCAAATAAACCTCTTTCCTTAAATTCCCCAGCCTCAGGTATTCCTTTAGAGCAATACGAAATGAATTAATGCAGCATGTAAGGCACTCAGCACAGGAAAACTTTCCATGAATATAAGCTACAGTAATGTTTCTTATTAATGTTAGATAGTAATAAGCAAATTCACCTTACTAGGCCTCAGTGCTGTCAACTGTATACTTGGAGGGTTAGATGAGAGTTGCTTTAAGGCTATTTTCTACTTTAAGCATCTCTATATGCTCAAGAGAGCAAAAGGAGTGGCTTTGGTCCAAGTCTGGAATGCTGTTTCCCAAAGTCGGTACATGACTTTGCATGCCACAGGCTAGATATATCACCCAACCCATGGCAATTAGAAGGAATGCAGCCAAGAGGAAGTAAAATTCAGGGTCCCTCATCCCCCAGAAGTCTTACTTTAGCTCAGTAGAAGAGAAAACGTACATTTTAGGAGGAAAACAAGAGAAATAAAGAGAGTGAGGAATTGAGCCAGCAAATGGGGAATCTTGGTGACCTTTGCATCCACATTAAAGTGCTAAAAATAGGAACCGCTCGACTGGCCCTTATTTAGAATGTGTGTGGGACAGCTGCAACCCGCCCAAATAGAAAGTATTTGGCTAGGCTCAGAGTTGCTGATGGGGAAAAGCAATCGGGAGTAGGGGCAGGAAGAAAGTTGCTTCCTTGGCTCCCAGCTCAATGTCTTTTTGTTCTCATCTCAGTTAGCTCACTCTAAAGACGCTGCCAGGCCCCTTCTGGCTCCGGCCAGCTGCAAGATCCTTCTACCCTGCTCTCCCTACTCCTCCTGTATTAGTTATTTCTGTACAGCGATTGGCCAGTTGTACAAGAAAGCCAGCAAGTATCAGCAAGAGGGGTAAGAGCAGACAGACTGGGAAGGACATAGAGCTCATCGCTGGTCCACTCTCACCCTGTTAGCTCTGTTTTGTTCCCCACAATTTCTGCAGAGTTCCTGGGCCTGCAGTCAATGTCCTGGTTATTCTAAGTCTCCTTTTCCCTGGCCTTTTACCCACCCAATAAAACAAGTCCCATCTCCCAAGGATCTAATGTCAAAGTTTTCAGATGTGATGAACTCATGATGCAGTATTGAGTGCCTATCATGTGCATTATACTAATTAATGTAGACCACAGACTGCAAAGTGGCAGCCTATAGGTATACCCAGCCTACAGATATTTTTTTTTTTTTTTTGGAATAGTCTATCTAGTGTTTAAATAAATTTGAATTAGTTGCTATGTTCAATAATTGAGAAATTTCACATTTAAAAAGCCAGGTTTCTGCTTTTCTAGAGAAGTTGGAAGAACTGGTCATGTTATTAGGCCCACATTGATGCAGCAGGGCAGTCATATACCAGAGCTCAGTAGAGTTTTCTCCTTTGACAAGGGAATGAACTCTCCTCATCATTTCTATTACCTTATACTTACAGAATTCAATTAATTACCTGCCTAATCTTTGAATTTGTAACCCCGCTTACTCCTCTTAACAGCTCTGTGAGTTTCTTTCATTGTCCCCATTCTACAGACAAAAAATTGAGACAAAAAATGTTTATATAAGTTCTCAACATTATATAGCTGTTTTATAATCTAGCTGGGCTTCAAACTCATACCTATAGAAAGGGTGACAGTGTCAGTTAATCATTTCCAGAGAAATGCAAACCGAGACAAAAACTTACTGGGACATTGTAGGAGCAATTCATACACTAGGGAGAAAATTTGAGTAGATGATTTCTTGGGTTTCTCCCAGAAGTAGACTGAGATGCTACAACAGCACTCCTGGGTCATTTAATTATATTTTAAAGATGATTTTGGGAGACACCAGACCTTAATCCAGATGTTGGAAACTTCAGTCTGTGTGTCAAGCCAGTAGAGGAGAATAAGTTTCAAACTTTTATATTGGTGCTCGTCAAGTCCACCATTGACGATTATACACAGGGCTTCCCCTGTGGGAGAGGGAGAGCCTGTTCTGCTGTGTTGTGAGAACCAGCAGGGCAGAATCGAACATGAGAATCCAGCTAGGCCAGATACTTCCGAAGGGACTTCAGGTCCCAACAGGTCCCAAACTGCTGCTAACAAGAAGATTGGGGACCTAAGTGAGGCTTGCCCATGGTAGAGGAAGAGAAGAAACTAAAAAGGAAACAAATATTTTATGAAACACCAGTTACAGGCTGAGCAGAGCATGGTGTACCAGTCAGAAATGTGAAATCTGCAAAACCCAACTCTATGCTGAATGCAAAAGACACACCTAACAGAGTGATTTTAAAAGGTGAAAGATACAGTGGTGGGCAAAAGCTTACGAGGCAAATGCAAACTATTAAATAACAACAGAAAGCATTGATTTTGATCTTGATATAAGACAAGGTAAAATGCAGGCTAAAAAAAATGTCCAAGGTAAAATGTCCATAAAGTAGCACAAGGAAGGATTGATTTCTGTTGAAGGCCAGAGTTCACAAGCAACATCCAGTAGTTATGAATACATACCACATAACAAAACAGCATCTTTTAGAGCAGAAACTGCAGAAGATGAAAGAAGAAATAGACAGAAACATACTCATATTAGGTATTTCAACATATACCACTTTCCATCCAAGTAAGGGCAAGTAGAGGACACAGATAAATACAGTAACCCCCCTTATTCATGGAAGGAATGTAACAGGACCCGCAGTAGATGCCTGAAACCATGGATAGTACTGACTCCTCTCTACACTGTGTTTTTCCTATACATACATACCTATGATAAAGTTTAATTTATAAAGTAGGCACAGTAAGAGATTAACAACAATACTAATACTATAGAACAATTATAACAATATACTGTAATAAAAGTTATGTGAATATGGTCTCTCTCTCTCTCTCAAAATATTTTATTGTACTTATTTTTGGACTGCAGTTGACCTCAGATAACTGAAACCATGGCAAGTGGAACCATAAGTAAGGGATGACTTACTATAATTATTTAGAAGACCCAACAACATGATAAATAAGGTAGAGCTGAATACATTGCAAACTCTTTACCTTGATAATAGAGAATACACTTATTTTTCAAGTCCACAAAGAACACTGACAAAATTAACCACAGATCAGGTCACAAAGAAAATGCAATAAGTTCCATTAGGTACAAATAATACAAACAATAGCCTCTGATGACAGTGGAATAAAACTAGAAAATCAATAACAAAACCAAACCACACAAAGCCCTTTGTTCATGGGTTTTTAAAAGCTCACTGTAAAATAACTCTTGAGTCAAAAGGGAACTATAAACTGACATTGTTGCATTTCTTCAAAGATAAATAATAATGAAAATAATGCATCCATTAAATATGAAGAGAAAGAAGGATAAAGAGAGAGTGTAGAGTGTGGAGTCAACTAGACACACAGTGGAATCATAGTTCTATCCCTTGTATGTGAATTTAAGCAAGAATCTCATTGAATTCAAATAACCATCCTAGGTAGTGGGAACTCTTCTCTCTACTTTGTAGACAGTGATACTTAGTTGAGAAATGAGAGTTGAAGCAAACGGTAGATCTCAGATTCAAACCCAAACCTAGCTGACCCCAAGCCCAATTTCTGAATCATCACACACATTGCCTCTAACTTCGGCACCTGGCAGAGTAGCTCGCCTGAACTATAAGCACCTTGGCCAGGAGTTAATGGTCTCCTGGGAGCTAAAACCTGTGAACTGATGACAAATGCCACAGCATCTTGGGGCTCATCCTCTCAATTGGTGACACACAGGTGCCTATAGTCTGATTAAAAACTCTAATGTCCAATTTCTCAAATACAAACAACCATAGAACAGCAGGCAGTATTGCTGCTCTTTCTGTGAAAAAGGTCACGCAGCAGGCATTGAATCCACAAGAATATGTGACTGCTAGTGGCTGTCAGTAATTGCAATATATTTTTATTATTCTACCTCTTAAATATCTCTTGTTTTTCATATTCAGCTCTTCACAGCCACTTCCCTGAACCAGGCCCACATCCTTAGTCCCTGAGAGTATTTGGGTGTTTCTTACAGGGTGTTTTGTTGGTAGTTTGCTCTTTCCCCATTTCCCACCATGTACTCTGTACCTAGCTAGCCAAGGGAATCTGAAACACCTGAAATTTACCCCTTCTGTCAAAATGACTGGCTGTCACCTGCACTCATATCGAAACTCCTCAGTATTGCATGAAAACCCCTTTAGGCTTTAGATATTCCCTAACTGTTCAACTCCTCTTTACCTCATCCTTTCTGTTCCA